ACACAACTGAGTAGAATTTCTCACCCCCCCCCCAGCCCCAAACCCTAAAAACCAGCCATAAACCACTTGGGAATGATAGGCACAAACCATGATTTTCTTTTCATTCCCTTGGGTCATTTGCAAGTGAAAGCATCACAAAATAGGTGGTTTGGGAATTGTTTGATATGTACATGATTCTCCTAATGCTTGCATTGCAAAACTTCCCAAGGTTCAATGAACATTTTGCTGCTTTTCTTAGCCAGCTGGTTAATTTGAGACATTTTACATAATCTGCCCTTTTCAGCAAATGCCAGTGAGTAAAGTTTTTCCCTCTTTATTATATCTGCTTCATGTGATTTTTGCTGGAAAGCTATACTAACAAGGAATTTATGTTACACTGCCCAAACTGTTTCTCCTTCCTATATCCATCTGATATTTGGCATGCTACATCTTGCTGCCTGCCTGATGACAAGGTTTTCAAAAGCTTTCAAAGGTGCTAATGGAAAGTCTTTAAAATGTATTTGCCTCTGCTAAAGAGAAAGATCAAGTGGTGTAGAATGCTTTTCAGCTGCAAAGTCGGGCACTAAGCCTTTTATCAAAGACGTCATGAAAAAACATACTCTAAAAGCTTCTTGTTGCTGTTTTAAATTTAAGCTTTAGGCATGTTTTCTTATTATCTGTAGCTGGTTGTACTCTATAACAATGTTAACCAGCCTAAAGAAAGCACCCTTTCTGGTTGGAAAAGGTAATTTAGTAGTCTTCCACCTGTTCAATTCCCTGAACTACATGAAAATATGATCCTTCACAGTACATATTCTCTGTGACTTTTGTGCCAGGCTTTTTGCCAGGCTTTTCTCGGACAGTGAGAATTATCTCTCTCTCTGATGGCTGCTGTGCCAGATTCATTACCTGTTCTCAGCTAGCATCTGCAGCATTCAAAAAAGTCACATCTATTCTTCAGGTATGCTTATCTCCCAGGACGAAAACATAATGTTATTTTCACTTTTATGCATATTCTTCAGATCTATATATTCTCTGGTAAAGAGAGAAAGCTATACAAATAATAATAATACTAATAACAAATAAAAATATTACAAATTAAAAAATATATCTTTACAAATAAAAAGAAAGGAAAAATAGATGTAGAACATCTATCTTTTTTCTTAGAAATCTTACATAGTCATTGAGGATATTTGCCCTTATCAGGATGCTCCCTGACAAATGCAGACAAATGGAATCATAGTAAAATAAAACCAATCATCTCATGCATACATGTAGTAACATGAGGAAGTCCAAAGCTGTATGAACGAGTCTTTGTCTCTGAAATGAGTCTTTGCCTCTGGGTTAAAAATTTGCATGAAGGCTCTTAACCTGCAAAGCAAATTCCCATGGTGTTCCCAGAAGCACGTGATTCATTTTGCTAGGGTTAGGTAGACTGCATGCATTGTATTTGTTCAAGATCATATTTGTTTCTCACCCTTTATCACTGATTTTAAGAAACCTGAGGAAATTGAAATGTTATGCTTACTTGTCCTGTACATAGTGCCTATTTATTTTAGCAGTATTTCTGCAACCTTCTGCTTTGAATTTCTAGTACGTAAGTACTTTTGACAAATTAGGGAAATAGGGGAAATTACAGAAATAATTACAGCTTTCTCTTCTTTTTTTATGATAAGAGATAACCTATTTAGAATACTGCTTCTCCTGTGTTGTCTCTATAAGGAAAATGATATATCAGGGAAACTTCTTCCTCTGTCTTTGTTGCATCCTAGTACCAAGAGTCTTCAATACAGCATGGTTTATTGGATGCTTTAGGATGGATTTGGGATTAGGAGTCTAATTTCATATTTCCACTTTGTGCTGGCTTTCATCTAATGATTTTGGGGAGGTTATGCCTGATTTACAGAAACATAAGTGAGATCAGAGCTAAAAAACAATCTATAGAGCCATTTAGACATTTACTCCTAGGGGATATATTCCTATGTTTATATGGATTAGGTGCCTATGTGAATGGGGTTTTGTTTTTGTTTTTGTTTTTTTTGGGGGTTGGAAGAGACCTTAAAAATCATCTAGTTCCAACCCCCAGGACTGCAGAGCACAGATCTAAGAGAGGATTCCTACCTGTAGGCATTTAATGGTTCAAAATAATCAATAATACTGCTCATGAAAAGTACTTCATACATCTTTATAAACAAGCAGCCAAGCTCTTAAGACAGGAAAGAAATGTGGTTCTGCATATAGACTGCATATTTAAATGGCTTGAAATAAGCAACAGTTTGAATAGTTAATACCTGAATTCATCTAATTAATGAATTTTTTACAAAAATATTTGTGTAGTGGCTAATGATAATCTAGAAACTTTTTTAAAATTTTGATGTTTATCATCCTGGAAGATGTTCATAAATGATCATAAACTGACATACGTGCTCCCTAGCGTACACTTGTACAGTATCGATCAGATTTCAGACTTCAATTGATTTCTTTCTTCACACTTTCTGGAAATAGCGAAGTGGTTTAATAATTCCACCTAGGTAGGAGGGAGGCAAAATTTGCAAGGAGAGAGAATATATTCATTAAACTAGCTGATAATGGTAGAAAAAATGGACGAGATTCCAGAAGAATGAGCTTTAAGATGGTTCCTGAGAAAGCCCTCAGCTGGGCTTCCAGGTCTTCTGCTGCAAGGGTAGTTGTCATGTCAATGGCCAGCATCACACCTGGTCATTGACAGGCCTCCAGGATGATGGGCCTGGGCTCAGGTCAGCATTTGGGGCTGAGGATACACAACTGTCACGAGAACTGGGCGTTTGTGGAGGAGGAATGGCAGAAGCTGAGGAAGAGGGGAACAAGGAGGGGTGTGATGCTGACACAGACATCCAAAGGAGAAGAAGCCATAGAAGAGTCACTGTCAGGAAGAAGTATATACAAAATAACAGCGTATTGGGTTTTTTCCCCTGTGGGAGACAAAAAAAACCCAGAGACACAACGGAGTTTGGCGTTGGATGAGATAAGATCCTGTTAACACTGCTCCTACCTGGGAGCAGGACTGTGATAGCATCTTAATACTTGTTGCTCCGCTGTATGCAGCTGAGAAAAAGCAATACTGATTTACTGTGTACTCGCTCCTTGTAAACAGAATCACAACCCACGCCATGATTGCTACATGATGTCTTCATAACATCTTAGCAAAAGCAATAAATGACCTCTCTCCTCAGGACCTTCTCTGCCCCAGGAATAGTCCAATTTAAAACCCACTAGTTTAGTAACACCCTCCTAATTAACAGTAAATGGGACACCTGCTGTGAATAACTGCTGATGGCCAGAAAGCAAATAAAAAGGAAATTCATTCTCTTCTTCAGCTATAGAATCACAGCACGGCTGAGGTTGGAAGGGACCTCTGGAGGTCATCTGGTCCAACCCCACCCTGCTCAAGCAGGGCCAGCTACAGCCAGTTGCATAGGATCATGTCCAGATGGCTTTTCAATATTTCCAAGGATGGAGACTCCACGATCTCTCTGGGCTAGTGCTTGGTCACTGTCACAGTAAAAAAGTGATTCCTGATGGTCAGAGGAAACCTCCTGTGTTTCACTTTGTGCCCATTGTCTCTGGTCCTGTCACTGGGCAACACCGAAAAAAGCCTGGCTCTGTCCTCTTTGCACCCTCCCTTGAGGTATTTATATACATTGATGAGGCTGAGCTCCCCTGAGCCTTCTCTTCTCCAGGCTGAACAGTCCTGGTTCTCTCAACCTTTTCTCATAGGAGAGATGCCGCAGTCCCATAATCATCTTTGTGGCCCATTGTTGGACTCTGTCCAGTATGTCTGTGTCTCTTTTGTACTGAGGACCCCAGAACTGGACACTACTCCAGGTGTGGCCTCACCAGTGCTAAGTACCAGTGAAGGATCACTTACCTTGGCCTGCTAGCAATACTTTGTGTAATGCAGCCCAGAATGCCATTTGCCTTCTTTGTGGCAAGGGCGCTTTGCTGGCTTGTGTTCTACTTGGTGTCAGCCAGGACCCCCAGGTCTTTCTCTGCCAAACTGCTTTCCAGCTGGATGGCCCTCAGGATATATCGGTACATGGGGTTGTTCTTCCCCAGATGCAGGACTTTGCACTTGTTGAAATTCATGAAGTTCCTGTCAGCTCATTTGCCCAGGTCACTCTAGATGGCAGCATGACCTTCTGGCATATCAGACACTCCTCCCAGTTTTGTGTCATCAGTAAACTTGTTGAGGGTACCTGTGCCACATCATCCAGATCATTAATGAAGATGTTAAGCAGG